AGTTGACAGGTTTTACCATGATGGCTTGACGAGCTTGCTCCAGCTTCACAAGAGTTCACAGGTTTCACCAGAGTGAGACTTGTAAACCGGAACTAGTGAAGCAACAAAAGTGCAAAATGCTCTCCAGCCCCCCGTCGCCGAACTGCGCCCATTCAAGATTTGGAAAAGACTTTCTTGGTAGAAAATGCTGATGCTGTGAAAGAGCAATCAGCACTAAAACACACCTTTTTCAACCAGTCATCGAAATCGTTGAGAACTTGGTCAATAGTAGGTTGGTTTTCGACCATTGCCTTTAAAAGTTGCAAACTTTCAGAGAACAGTTTCAGTTTCAGAGAACAAAATAGATGGTTAAAATGGCAAGAATTCCATAATTTGGAACTATTTGCGCATTGCTGTCCACTTTTAAGTTCGACTCCCACTGAAGTTTATCTCTAGAGAGAGAATTAGCTAGAAGCTTGTCTCTGTAAAAAAGGGTAACACTAGGTGCCATCTCTCGACTCCTCTCGCGTTGCCGCATGGGGCCTGCCGCAGGCCTAAACCGTAGCCAAACGCACTACTTGACTGGGCCCTCTCACTTCTGCTTGTTCTCTGCCGCAGAAGCGCGTTTCGCTGCGGGACCTTAGTATCTACGAAAGCGCTACACATTGAGGTCAGCACGGGGGGGGGGTACGGAGACTATCTCCAGCACCACCTCGCGCACTTTTCAGCGGAAAAAAGGTGCACGCTACTGCAGCTGCGGAACCATTTGCCTGGCAAGAGCCGTCCTCGGAGGTAAGTCCACGTAACCCTTTGGACAAATATCCATAGAACTGGTTAACAACGGTACATCCTATGCCTTTCAGTGTATGATGGAGATAACGAAAATTAGTAATAAGTGCAGAAATTTACCTGGATTATACCAGTAAGATGAGTGCAGAACGACGTAAGGTCCGGATTGACAGTTGGTCTAACGTATTGGTGAAAATAAGCGTTAACCTCCCATGTCCGAGTGTCAAGCTTCGCAACAGGGAACTCTATGATTTCCTAAAATACATGCATTAGTGACTGGTAAAACCTATAAAAGAAAATCGATAGCATGTTTATTCAAGCACCTGGAATGGTAATATTTTCCCGTCTTCACAACACGTTGCTTCAAAATCTAACACTAGAAGATAATCGAATTCCTGCGACAGTTTCGGTGCTCCTGAAAGACTGCTCGATGAAAAATAAATATCGATTGTTTGAAAAGCATAAACTTCGAGGAAAAGTGGGCAAAATATGGTCATCAAAAGTTGCAGTGAGCAGCATAAAAAAGGTGGGCGCAGTCCGGCGACGAGAGGGGGGGGAGTATTTTGCATTTTTGCAGCTGCTCACGAAATGGTTCTCTAGATGGGCACACACGTCGATGGGATGTGGCAAAAAAGCGAAGTGTCCCCCCCCCCTCCATTGCAGAACTGCCCCAAAAGGAGTTCCAAGGCAAGATGACCTGTGGTACGCACTGTTTCAGTGTCCAAAAGTTTCAGAAATAAGCTCACATTCTCAGCTCGCAATCTTACTCAGCAACTGGATTGAAGGACAGCACCTTATATGGTTAGACGAAGTCTGTCCCGCCCTACGGTATCATCTCCGGTTGCGGAGCTCCTACCAACCGGATATTCTCTCTCTGTGAGGGCCCAGAAATATTGTTCTATCGCGTCCACGGAAGAAAACTGATCATTGGGGGGAGGGGGATCCGGTGTATGGTTGCTCGCCTACTGAAGTGACCGTACTATGTAGTCTCCATCCCCTACCTAGGTTGTGGCGCAGTATTGAACTTGGGAATACCAGTGAACCGTAACTTTAAAAACATTCAGGAAAATATTCAAAATTTGACGGACCATGCTGAGCTGAGGACATCGAAGCAACCGAGAGCACCTTAGATGAGACTGCTTGCACAGAGGAAGATTCTCGTTTCTTCAAAAATGGTGGTTTCTTCTTTTGAAATGGTACCTAAAATACCATAAAAAGTTCACAGTGGACTTCATCACGAGTGGTAATAAAATTGCAGATATCAGAATCACGAGTGGTAATAAAATTGCAGATATCAGAAGACAGTTATAACTTATAAAAAATGGGAAAGTCAGAAAGTGGAAACTGAAAATACCTTATAGCAACTACTTGTTGTTGCGATGAACGATTGTGGACAACGATTCAAGCCAAACGAAGAAATGAGGGAACTTGAACGTGAAAGAACTGCATTCATTTCTGAAATTATAGCATTTTGAAAGGGTAATTGAAATTTAACGCTCAAACGAGGGCCATACATGCACTAAAATAAGAAC